TTCATTATTGCCTGTAGATATCTTCCTGCGTTTGACTTGGATTTGATCATCTGAATCTGAATCTGACACATTGAATTCCTCAGTTTTGTCAGCAGAGTGTAAAGGTAAAGAATATTTTAGTGTTTCAGTTTTGTTATTAATTTCTAAAAGTATAGCCTCCAAATCATTAATTTCATTAGATAATCGTAAAATAGTGCATTCTTGTAAATCGTCGCGAAAATAAATCAAAACATCACTATCAGAATTTTGGGCAAACCATATAAAATCCCTATATTTCAATATGCGATAACAAATACGTAAATCTTCCATATTGTATTGTACTAAAGCCCATGGATTAGTAGTATTTAATACATCTGTATTTGCTGTTTTTTTAAAATAATGATGAAAGAACTTGGTCTCCCATAATTTAAGCTGTGCTTTGAGTGGTCCAGGATCGTTATGTTTATGTAGTAAAATTGCTGGTATTGTCTTTTTATCAACATTTACACTTATTCCCTCAAGCAGAATTTCTTCATTTGCATTGAAATTAATAGATTTATTATTATTGTATATGGGATCTATAAAATATTTCCTCATCGACAACATTTCTTCTAGATATTCAATATTTTCGTCATTTAAGATTGTGTCTTCTTTGGCAAAACTGGCGTCAGTTGTTGACAAATCATCGAAATAATCTAAAGCCAAATTCATATTAATTTTCGATTTTTTTTTAGGCCAATTTATTTTACTAGATGGCATTATTCTCTGTTCCACTATTAAATCATTTTTGTATTGTAACAAATAATATCTGCTTGGATATAGTTCTGGTGAATATTTTAGTTCTTCTCGAAGCATATCTGTATATGACTTTAATTCTTCTTCGATTTCGTTTTTATCTTCTGCTACCAGTACCACAAGACCGCATTTTATTTGTCCTTTGCTTATATACTTCGCTTGACGGTGGATTATCTTGTTGTCGACGGGTGGGTTGCAGAGTTCTGTTATGTGTTTAATTTTATAGCGGTTTACGAACAAATTGTGGTTATTTGGTTCTGCCACTTCTATTTGAAGTAAAAACCATTGATATCTTGGCAATGGCGCCTGTTTCTTAAAAATAAGATCTTGTTCTTCCATTCTCAGAGAATGTATAGTTCTGTGGATATCAGTTTGAATCAGTATATAAAAATTTAAATAATAATAACTTACCTTGAGATTATCACAATTATATGTTAATTAGAATATTTCTAGAAAAGTTGCAAGCTGTTTAGATAACGATTGTTGGATTTATTTTTAAGTTGTCTATTTTTATAATAAATTTTCTGTTCAGATGGGTGTGGTCTTGAGATTAGCTATATGTTATGATGAATTGAGCGATGAAGAAGTGTGTAAGTGCGACATAAACACACAAACTAAATATATTCTATAAATTAATAAATCAATTTACAACATATATATAATAATGTAATATTGTGCTACCTTTGTTACTACCTTGTTACTACCAATTGGAGAGAGTTTAGAATATTAATATATATTGGCAAAAGTCAAAATTCTGCCCGCAGTTTTCACATTATGTTTTATTTTGTTTATTCTCTTTTCTACTTACTTTCGTTAAATTGGCAAACATTTTTTTCTAAAAATTCGCCGCGATTTTAATACAGTGGTGTCTTATGGGTAAATAGTAGAGCTTAAAATATTATTCCAGCTAATCGAGGGTTCGAACATTTTGATATTCGAGGAGGCTCGAGCAAGCCGTGTAAATGGGTCGCAAATGTTTAAATAACATATGGTGTTCGTATTTAATATATAAATATTTTATAAAACAAAATTAATATTAAATTTAACATTAAACAGATGAGCTACACGAGTAATTTCAACGTCTTCGAGTAGTTCGAACAATTTTAAACAATTACAGTGTATTATACGAGTATTATATTATCACAGTACATATAATATAAAATAAGATGAATCTAAAATATTAGTTTGTATGACAACTATATCTAAATTTGAACCGATGAATATAAATTTACCTATAAATATTCTTATCTATAGCAGGCCCCCAAAATTCAAATGATAAGCGAAAACATTAAAAATTAAAAAAAGTCAAAGAAGAACAAAAATAAATCGTTAGAGTATAAGCGAGTTATATCTAAATCTACTGGTGGCTCTTTTGGCCAGTCAGCCAGCCAACCGACCAATTCCATTTACGCTACACAGGTTGCATTCTATAAATAAGATTTAAGTTCCAAATTTATAGTACATACATCACAAATCAAAAAATTTTTTTATGGTTATATGGCTATATTTAAATCTAAATTTAAAGCTATATTTAAATCTAAACCGATATGAATAAAATTTTATGCAATATTGTTATCAAAAATGCACATCTGTACTAAGTTTTATTCGAACACCTATATTAAAAACAATGAAAAGTCCTACTTGTTTGTTCGGCTTACATGACAGTTATGGGATATAGTAATACTTCATACATTGACAAATAAATGGACCTCCTTGAACTTATTTAGCGACATAGTATATTCAAAGCGATAAAATTGCTTAGCTATCCGCTGAGCAATCTAAGCTGGCTGACCTCATTAATTATTGGACATGGAAATTTTAAGTATCACCTCAAAAAGATAACTCTTGTTCAGAAAGACACTTCCAAACTATGTCTAGAAGAAAAGCGGTGCATGTATTGTGCCAATGTGCCAGTATTAGCAAGCAGGAGGATGACTGTCTTGTGACACCGTTGGGTTGGTGATGACTTAGCAGTCAACTTCAAGCTAAACCAGTTACTTGCAATAACAAGAGATGTAGTTAAGCGAACGGAAGCCCCTTTAGCTTTAACTCTATAAAGACAATAACGAGAATCGAAGTACAAAAAACGACCTAAGTCGTTTCGTAACCTACTTCGGCTAATTCTTCACTTCAGTGGGGTCACTTGATGGACGGTGCGCTGTCCCAACGTCGCACAATAAACTATGTATAAACTTTTACTAATTTAATAAGGCTTTCTCAGATCATAGTACAAAGTAAGATCATAGTAGTTTTTGACATAATTTAAATATGATAAATATGGCAACTGTTGGGAAACCCTCAAGAAGTTTCATTACTTATGTGCTCATATTATCGCTAAGAGCTGATTTTAAAAATGTGCTCCAAATATTGCCAAAGAATAATTTTAAAGTAAAAGACTCAATGGCTTGGAAGTAGGCATTCTCATATACCATATACGAGTAAAACTAATATCACATGAATTTTATTTAAAAAAAATACAAAATAAAACAAAATTTATTTAATCAATATTGATTGTTTATTTTCGAAAATTTATAACCTCCAGAGACTATTCAAAGCTTACCCCTGGTACTCATGGGTGTGGGTTGGTTGCCTTGCTAAAATATTTTGCTGACAATTTGTCGCCAAATAAAATGAAATAAAACCCCAAATATTTTTGGGTTTTTGTGTTATTGGCAATAATTTTATTGACGCCATTGTTACAATACATTAACAACACACGCACGGTCATCAGTTTTGTTTTGGGGAGAACAGCTCCTTATTGATTCCAATCATTTCATCCGATATACGAGTGCTCCATGAATATTTGTGTTTGCAGTTTCAACGAACCAAAACACTGGCGACATATCCGGCATATAAAACCAATTTTTCGAGTTGATTCAATTAATTCTTGTTTTGATTGCTGGCCAATATTTAAGAGCATTAAATTGATTTAATGTTGTTTTTATTTCATTTTTAACATTCAAAAAGTATGTGGTTTTAAACATAATAACATAAACATAAACATACATCTATCAAGTATGAATAATCCTAGAAGTGTGTGGAATATTTTCGTGAGACTGAAGATTTCAAAACTTTTAATTAAAAAACATTCGCTTGATTAAACGAGCCGTGAAATAATATATGATTTCCGTAAAGCTTAAAGCGCTACAGCCAAGAAAGAATCCAACTAAGCCACCAATGTAAACTGTAAGAGATATAAACAAATTAGTATTATATTTATATAATCTTAAAA